CAATGATGATTCCAGCAGGATTCACTGCACGTTCGGGCAGCGGGTAGCCAACAAGTGGCAGGGGGCATTTATTGCTAAAGTATGACGACAACTAGTGGGAGCATGGGTTCCAAGTGGCTAGATAAAGCAACCAATCAACATGAAGTACCCCATACCCCCCATTAGTATAAATAGAAGGATTAGTTTCATTGTAAAGGGTTAGCATTTTGATACTCAAGCCTAGAATAGCATTATCTCTCTGATTTCTTGTATTAGTTACTATTCTGACATACTGTATTATCGTCTTTTACAGTGTAATAGTCAAATTACTTAATACAAGTGTGCTTTGAGTGTTCGTTGAGATCATCTTTTATATTTCTTTTATACACTGAATTGTTGTCCATTTCCTGATATATCCAAAGTCTGTGTTGGGCTTTCGGATCTACGTGATTAAACTTCAACAAGAAGTATATTTGTTCTCACACCCATACTAGAGGGGTATATTTTTTTATATACAGTTTTTCTACATCTTATGTCATCTACTCTTGATTTACTTATACCCGAGGTGCATGACATATAAATGTTCTTGTATATGTTGATTTTCTAATTATATCAGTGACTAACTACATGATTATCTCCTAATTAAAGCTCATCTTTACACTTGTTTTCATATTTAAGATTTGAGTGTCTAAATAGTTTATTGGAATTGAAGGTTTTCATTTGGAAGCGGGAACGATTGGGGCCAAACAATCGATTAAGGTAAATCATACCCTTGTTAATGCTTACCACACTATATCTCCGATATCTAGAGCCTACATTATTATCATATAATGGATTGCTTGATATATTTAGTTGTCACAAGACTGAGTTTAAGTTACTCACTTCATTGGAGTCCCAATTTTTGCACGCACCCTGGTTGGAGGGATTTGGTGTCGCTCTGTGTTTAGTTTGATTTCTGAAAGCCTCTCCAAAGCAAGGGTACTCCTTAGAGTTCATTGGGATCTCACACTGTAGTTGGTGTGTCTTTGATTGGGCGATTTATCCTCTTAAAGATGCTCACTTTTTGGATGGTTTTTTTGGACACTCACCAATTTCGTAAAAATAAGCAAAACATATTGCTTTCCATCCCTTGACTAAGCCAGTATATCGCTGGAACTTGTAACATGTGAGCTTAAGTGGATAAAGCCTAAAGGCCCAATCACTCACTCTCTAGACATTAATGACCATCCAATTCCTTTGCTTTGTAATAGTCAATCTGCTCTCCATATATCGAGGTAGCTTCCACGTTGTGTGAGAATGTGAGATGTTATTAGGTTGACCGCATTACCCCTTCTCATGTGCTTGAAACAATATAACTTGCGTACAAATAGATCAAATATCATGGAAAACATCTGTTTGATTTTTTCCTTTTTTAAGTTGGGCACTTTGTACCCCATGCCCTAATTATAGGGTGGTGTTAATATTTTTATTAATACTATATCTTTATAGTATATACTTATTCCTATCCTATTTTATTCTTATTAGTTAGACAATTACATGCGTTTAGGATTCTTAGAATAAGTGAATAACGAGTTAGCTTAATTTTGGACTATTTTTTCAATGTGCTAACTACATATAACGTGTATATAATTGGACGCAATGCAGGTAAACAATCATTAACTTTCAAATTCATGTCTTGACAACAATAATGTTGAAGAACTATGTAAAACTCGGTAATACTTTGATATGTGAGTGTGGAGAGTGCGGTTGGGTTGAACGATCATGTTCTAGAGTTTATTGAGAGATTACCCTATTGTGGCGACTCCAAAGAGAAAAATGCAACTCTCAACTTTAGTCCAAATAAAATCAACCATAATTTTAGGAAATACTTCATCATACATCCAACTTCAATCTCTCTCTTTGTTTGTCCCCATATATATCTTTCTTTGCTAGATTTTAGGGCTGGGCATAGTATGAGATGACATGTTAGGCCTTAAGGCCACCTCAAATTTCAATTTTGTTTAAATTATATCAGGCTAAACCAAGTATGCAGGAAATTTTTCAAAAAATATTTGTACCAGACAAACACAATATACCATCATGATTATGGCACTGATTCAGGGTCAATGATGCACACTGAATTATGTAGTAATCAAAATAATTAAGGTTAAAATTATTTTTTAGTGAATTGAGTGAAGTTAATGTAGAATAACTGGATTATGGCACTGATTCAGGGTCAATGATTCCATATAAATGTTTAATTATTTTCTTAATAAAATATATTTAAAATATAATTGTTCCATAATTCGATCAACACATTCAACCGTTTCAGCTAGAACTTCATAACATTTATTAGATTGCACCGATTTAGTCATTTAAAATATATTATATTTGTTGGGTTAATGGCCCAACGGGGGTTGGCCCATCAACCTTTGAGGGCTTCTAGACGAACGTCCCCAAAAGTCCCAATCCAATCGGGGCAACTTCCCCCCAATAGCGGAGAGGTTCGTCCCCAGAATACGAGGCTACATCATACCGGCTGCCAAGGCCCAATGGACATCTGCCGGGGGACGCATGTTTCCGAGGGAAGCCTAGCATATCTTGCTCCAGAAGTAGTGCAAGACGCTCCGGCCCTAGAACTTAAAGCCCAGCAGAACACAGGAGGCAAGCTCATGGGGACGTTCGCCACCTCTTGGTAGGAAACCAAGATTCTGGCGGGAATCACATTTGATGTAGGAGATTTGGTGGTTGGGATCCTAGCCATCCAAAGCCCGCCACATCAGCATGTTTAACTACCCCTTATTGGTATAAATAACATCATTTATTTCATTGAAAAGGGTTGGCAACTTAGCACTCTAGCATTATAACATTTGCATCAGCTCATAGCATAGATAGACGTACGACCTCATGGCTCTTGCATTGAAGTGTATCGTGTACGGACTTTATCATCTATTAATAGACACGGCCCACTTACTACGAGTTATTTGATCCATCTTCGCTTATTTTACCATCTATTCTACCACACCTTCCATTCAAAATCTTTGGGTTACGTGTTGGGCCTACGGATTAAAGGAATAAACATCAACACTAGCGTCGTCTACGGGAAACTGATCAAATAGTTCTTCCAAAACAAGCTCTCAACTGAAAATCACCCTTAACAGTCTTAAAACAAGTAAGATGGCAGGAAATAATGCAGGGAACTCTCGTGATCTCTCCGAGCGACTGGCACACAACAGAAGAGCCCGCACCCAGACTGTGGGTGCCCAGTCCAGCAGCTTGTGGAGCCGTAGAGACTTTGGGAACCTCACCGACATGATTCCCCATGAACTCAGGAGGGACCCAAATGCATTGAGGGAAATGACATATACCATACGACGTATGGCAGATGAGCGGGAGGCAGAGCACGTGTATTCTGCGAACACCGAGCATACCCCGTTCTCACCTCTCCGCTCCATGCAGACGCTCAGGGAGAGTACAGGCGAGACAGCAGAGTCTCGCTTATCGTACCATACACGGATCGTCACGAATCCCCATTCTTTGGACATGGGTGGAGCTAGGGAAACCAGGCTCTTTAGGGGGACTCAGCAGAATGCGATCCGGGATCGCACCCCAGTGATGCCACGTAATTAATTTCTGGCCAAGTAGTCGACCCCCACAATCAACAACGTAGCACCGCATTTCGGAGGTATGGAAGGGCAGGGGGCCCATTTCATCAACAGGCAGCACATTGCTGACGTCGTATGCACGGAGAATGCCCTAGCACTGGTAAACCCCACGCCAATAGTCACCAACTCGCGAGATGCGAGGCTCGTGGACCTCCAAAGGTAGATTAATGAATTGAGCCGACGGACGGAGATCGAATGACCCGGCTCAGCCAGGATTGCACTCTCCTCTCTTTTCTCCGCCAGGAGCATGTCCGCAGAGATTCCACAGGACTGTCGGCCGCCCGGCGCACTGATTTACAATGGGGTCGAGGACCCCAAGGCCCATCTGCTTTCCTTCTAAGGAGGACTCTCCATGCCAGGAGCCCCCGATGAGGCCATTTACAGGTTATTTTTCAGCACCCTCTGAGGACCGGCACAGAAATGGTTCGAGCAGCTCAGGTCTGGAACCATTGATAGGTTTGAACAACTATCCTGGCAGTTCTTGGCGCAATTCGCATCCAGCTCCACCCCCAAGAAACACTTCAGCTGGCTGACGAGCGCCCGCTAGAACAAGGGGAAGTCCCTATCCACTTTCCTTATAAGGCGGAGGGATGAAACTCTGAAGGTCACAGAATGCACGTGCATCACTCTCTTCACCAATGCACTGACAACCGGGGATCTTTACAGAGATCTGAAGAGGAACCACGTGAGTAATTACGCGGGGTGCTGGCTACGAGTTATTTGATCCATCTTCGCTTGTTTTACCATCTATTCTACCACACCTTGCATTCGAAATCCTTGGGTCACGTGTTGGGCCTATAAATGATCCTTTATAGTAATTTCAGAAAATTCAATAACTCAAATTCTACTTATTTACAAAATTCATCATGCGAAATAAAAAATGTGTTACCACAACGGCTCTAAATCATTTCTCCCAACTTTTTTTATAAGTAATTTATACGAAGTAGTTGATACCATAATTTATAGTCCATAATTTATAAAAAAACGTGTTACAAAAAATAATCATTTTTTCCCTTTTTTGATAAATAAGTTATACTCAGGGTTCAAAATACATAATTTATAGTCCATAATTCATAACATAACATGATTTCTACTCTCTTAACCGGGTTCAAAATACATAGTTGAGTGGGCGTAGTTCAACTGGTAGAGAGGGCGTGTCATAAGGGTTAAATCTCGTGTTCGAATCCCGTCAACTGGGATGAAAGGTTACTATGCTAAAAATGTATAGGGGCTCTACAAAAATAACGGGATAGAACCTCACTCTCTATCTATCAGATTGAGATTATAGTCTAATTTACATCCGTCCGATCGGAATCGGGAACAGGATGGAGTGTCATTCTTTTTTTTTTTACCATTAAGATCACAAGCAGCGGTGATGTGCTGGGTGCATCCTGTCAGACAGGAGTGAGGACTTACCATCTCATATCGTCACTCTCCCAGTCTGTGTTCACACCCATTTCCCACTCTTTTCCCAATTCCCACCACCTATCTATAGCTCCTCCCATATACAAACAAAATCTAAGCTCTTACACTTCTTCTGCCTCCATTATTATATATCCTCTCCGATCTAATCATCAAACCCACACTTTCTAGCTCGCTCCTTTCACCATCAATAATGGCATCTCCCTCCCCCATGTCAATGCACCAACAAGACTCCTCCGGCTCCAAGAAAAGCATGGTCACCTCGTTCTTGGACGCTGCCGCCCTCCGCCGCACCGCATCCTTCAAGGAGGACACCTACTTCGCCTCCGACCTCAAACCCGCCGAGAGAAAGGCGTTGTCTGACTTCAAGCTCGCCCTCGCCTCCGCCTCCTGCCCCGCCGCCTCCATGTGGGGCATCCCGCTTCTCTCCGGGGAGGACCGGGCGGATGTGGTCCTCCTCAAGTTCCTACGCGCCCGGGACTTCAAAGTCCTGGACGCCCTCCACATGCTCGAGAAATGTCTGCTGTGGAGGAAGGAGTTCGCGGCGGAGGACGTCGTGGAGGAGGAGTTGGGGTTCAAGGAGCTGGAAGGAGTCGTCGCGTACATGAATGGGTTTGATCGACAGGGACACCCTGTTTGTTACAATGCCTATGGAGTTTTTAAGGACAAGGAGATGTACGAGAAAATCTTCGGAGATGACGAGAAACTCAAACGGTTCCTAAGATGGAGGGTTCAGGTTCTGGAGAGAGGGATTAAGCTTCTACATTTCAAACCGGGCGGTGTTAATTCACTCATTCAAGTCACTGATCTTAAAGATATGCCCAAAAGGGAACTTCGGGTCGCCTCTAATCACATCCTTTCCCTTTTCCAGGACAATTACCCTGAATTAGTTGCCCGAAAGGTATCCAGTTTCTTCATTTAAAAAGGATCATCATAATCATCATTATTACTTGTTAGTTAATACTGAAATTGATGGATTTCTCAAATTATGGTTTGATCTGGTTTGCTCAGGAATGATAATAAGTTTAATTAAAGACATTTCATTTGTTTTTTATTATTACACAATTGGGTCAAGAATTACAAATTTAGTTTTAAACTAATAAGCCAACAGAGAGTTACCCAATAGATGCATTATGATTATGATTTATGATTCATAAATCAAGAGAGTTACTAGAGGTGTGATTAATTTTTTTTGACATTTCAAAAATATGGCTAAAACTGCTTCCAAATTTTTATTGCCTAGTTGATTGTGTTTGGTATATGTGGTACATGATTTAGTGCAACTTTTTCTCCCTTCAATGTAATAACTACTACAGAGTAATATAGAAAATAGATTTATGAAACAGCTCACTAGTGTGATTATTGAGTAAGATTAATTCATTCATTTAAAATATTTAAAGAATCTCGACCATTCATTACGCTATTCGCTATTGTGTTCACTGGCATGATGATTGGCTAAGATTCATCCATTCATCTAAAATATTTAGAAAATCCGGACTACATACATAAACATAGTTGCGTATCCTGGAATTTGTTAGAGCGTGAGACACTAAACACTAAACTTATTCTATAATAAAAACTCTGAGTTCGAAGCGGGACGCTTATTTTTACCTTAAGTGCTGTACTAATGAACTTCCGGTCCTAGGCGGGGCACGTGCCCCCTAGCCCCTCCTTAGGTCATAAACCCTTCTGTTATTATTGTTGTTGCTATGAGTAGTTATTCTTTTGTTGCTCAGATGCACCTTATTATTTTCATTACTAATATTATTATTTTTTATTTGGGTGAATTTTTTAATTTTCCTAATTTGAAATAATTTCTTGTTGAATGGAGGTGTTCATCAATGTGCCGTGGTACTTCAGCATGTTGTATTCAATGTTCAGCCCATTCTTGACGCAAAGGACAAAGAGCAAATTTGTTATCTCTAAGGAGGGTAATGTTGTTGAGACGCTATACAAGTAAGTGGGTATTTTCTTTAATTTTCTTCCGATAATAATATTTTATTCATTTTAAATTCTTAGTTTTGTCTTTATTAATGGTTCTGCCTGGTGTGAAAATGACCCCAAGATTTTTCAAAGATTCTGGCGATGGGTAATACTTGATGCTGGTGTGCTTACAGGATTTCTGTTTTTGGGGTGTTAAGATGTTGCGGGTCTGTGGAATTATTAATCGTTTATTTTAGTAAATAAAATAGGGATGTTCCATAAATGAGGTTAAAAAATAATACTCCTTTCGTTTTCATACTATTTGTCGTTTTACACAATTTATTTATCCACAAAATAACTTTTGTTTCAATATTTTGCACTAATCTTTCAAATGTAATCTTATTAACTTTACTTATTTCCTTTCAAAGAAAAACTTTACTCGTTTTATTTTTTGCCCGTTGAGAGGAATTCAATCATTTGATGTTCGAACTTATATTTAATGTTTCTTTATATACGTCTAAACTATTCAAATATTTCAGTTAAATTGGAAAATAGAGAGAGAATCTTTTTTTGCAAATAGAATATTGATTCTTGTTTAATTAAAGAAATACTTCTCAGTATTAATTGCTCTTATTCCTAGTTAGAATTGCTTGTATAAGAAGTACCATAAATCATTTTTTTAGATCCTTCTCTAACAAATAGATTTGGTAACACTAAATGTAATGGTAAAATTATATTTAAAATATTTATTATTAATAAAAAAATAAAAATATATGAAAACATCTTAAAAGTGATTCTTTATTTCTTTATACTCCCTCCGTCCCAATTTAAAATTGCTCTTTCTTTTTAAACAATTTATAAAAGTGACACTGTTTCGCACTGTTTGGATACTTTTTTTATCAAATAAGGAAAAAGAACATTTTTAAAGGACAAAAATGGAAATAAAACCTTTTATTTTGGGACGGAGGGAGTATTAATTCAATCGTTTTAGTCGGAAAATAAGAATTATCAAACCGATTCCTAACTTCTTCTGTTTTCTTCTCTTTTTGGTCGTTTTTAAATTGTTTCTCTCACTGTAAATAAACCCTAATCACTCTTTTTATCTTATATAAGTGCTAAGTAAAACATGGAGAGACAATGGGCGGGAAGGAGTAAAGCATTGTTAGTTCAAAATTCATTTTTTAAAAGTTGTTTAATAATTTATTCATAAATTATAGCTAACCCATGTGCTGCGCTGGAAATAGGTTCATCAGGCCCGAGTATGTACCGGTTCAATATGGCGGTCTGAGTCGGCCCAGCGATTCGGACGAGGGCCCTCCTAAACCGGCGTCAGAGTTCACGGTTAAAGGAGGGGAGAAAGTCAACATTCAGATTGAAGGAATTGAGGTTTGTCACAGAAGTGTCGTGACTTTATTTATTTATTTGTGTTCACTTTTTCTTCAATTTGATTGTCACTTTTACCATGTGATCAGCCCGTTTTTGTCCCCCCACCTCCAAATTTTATCACATCACAAAAAGTAAGTATCATGTTCAAATTCTGTCCCCATACTAGTACTTTTATAAACCAATTAACCTTCTTAAATAATCTTAAACAAACAAAAATATCAAGTACCTTTTCACTCATTTAGAGCGTGTTTGGCAATATCCGAATCGACTGTATTGACTGATTTTGCTGAAGTTTATAACCTTCTGACAAGAGTGACTGGATTAGTTGATTTTGTTGATTTATGAAAAAAATTTAATTATATTTCATTAATTAAATAAAGAAAAAATTATATAAAAAGTAGGCAAAAATGATCATCTACATTAATGAACTTCAGCCAATACATTTAGAAATGTAACTTCAACATTACTTTTTGTTATTATTACAATTCAATGAGTAAGGTCAAAAGTTACGTGTTTGGTTAAAATATTGGCTGATAAGCCTGATTGTGCCGAAAAATAAGATCACCAAACAAGCTCTTTATCATGTGAGTTAGCCTTATTACTGGCCATTTGGTAACCCTGTTTTTCAGCTTATCAGGCTAATCAGCCAACTTTTTCACCAAACACATAACTTTTGATTTCACGCGCTGAATTGTGTAATATTAATAAGAAAAAGTAAGATTGAAGTTACTTTTCTGGTTGTATTGGCTGAAGTTACCGTAGCGGATCATTTTAGCTCTTTTATCATGTAATTTTTTCTTTATTTTATTAATAAAATATAATTTAAATTTAATTTTTTCATAAATCGGCAGAATCAGCCAATGCAGCCACTTCAGTCAAAATTTCATAAATTCCAGCCGATTTCAGTGTTACCAAGCGGACTCTAAATGTTTATTATGACAAATTGAATAGATTACTCTTATGAGTATTATGGAATCTATTCCTATGAGCTCAAATGGTATATTTTTTTTTTTACTTATTAGTCTGACTTATCAATGGGATATTTGACTTTGATAAGTGTCTGAAACACTCAAACTCCTAAACATTAAATAAAGTAATTAATTAATGAATGACCAATTAAATGATTAATTACATTTTGATACAGAGTGGTGCCTCAATAACATGGGACATAGTGGTGGGAGGATGGGAATTAGAGTACAGCGCCGAGTTTGTACCAAACGCAGAAAAAAGCTATAGCATCGCCGTGGAGAAGCCCCGGATGGTTGCTGCCGGAGAAGTGGCAATACACAACTCCTTCAAGTCGCCGGAAGCTGGAAAGTTAGTGCTTTCCGTCGACAACACCGCCTCCCGGAAGAGGAAAGTCGCAGCGTATCGTTACCTAGTCCGCAAATCCGCCAACATCTAATGTGGCATCCTTTTACGAATGTGTTAGTAATAATAGTAGTAAAATAATCTTTTGAATTTTGCTCTCAGTTACCAATCTATTTTTCCTTCTTTGATCATTTCTTTGATGATCTTAGTTAATTAATTACCTTACCATGGGTGGAAACTTAATCATATGTACTGATGAGTGTACTTGTCGCAATCTAATTTTGTACAAAAGCTGGTACCTTGTTACATTACAAATGGAGATGCTTTCGAGCCGTTTATATGATTAGTTTTGTGTTTACTACTAGGTATTATGTATGTTTACAAAATAAGAAAATACTGAATATATTTTTAGCATTGTCTCGGTCCATGTAATTTTGGAGGCGATTTTCACTATAGTCATCCGGAAACGGTCACTCCATGATTTAGTGCAGGGGTAAGACCGCGTACATTCGATCTCCTTACGGCTTTACCCCACCGTAGGTGGGAGCCTTTGCGCCACTGGGGTAAATGAAAATGATTTTTAGCATTGTCTCATCCAAACATTGGTTAGAGCCCATTTCCTACAAAAGCTAACTGAATTTGTTTAATTATATGGGTAACATAAATTTAATCTGTGTATTTATTTTATTAATAACATGAAAAATCATATGAAATTTATTTGTAACTACTACACAATTCACTATACAGTCTATAAATGTGTTAGTACAGACTACTAAAAAAGATCTGATTAAAATATGAAGACGTTATTGTGGGAATATGGGGTAATTTGCACCATATAAGTGAAGGGGTAATCGGTAGGCCAGACTTTGTAGAGACTTTAGGTGGCATGTGTTGTTATAAGTTTGAATTGGAATGTATTGTTGCTGTATTATTATTTGTTTTAATATATTTAAAAAATATATATATTAAAGGAGGAGTATGATTAAAAGAATATATATTTTAAGATATATATATTATTTATTTTAATATATTTTTTTATTTTAATACGGAGTATATTTTATGTAGTATAGAGCATGATTTCTTTTTGGGGAAGAGTAAAAGGAGAGAGCGTAAAAGGAGGAGTGGAAATTGACTGATCCATAATCCTGATGGAATTCAAAATCCAAACTAGAAAGAGCTGTTTGGTGATGTATAATAGACCGAACTGGCCCCATGTGTTAAATTTGTTGAAATCGTGACTAAATTTATTGAAAAACATGATTTTTTGGTTTCAGTGGTTTGTGATGTAACTTGTATAATGAAAAATGTAACTCGCGTCGTTGTAAAATCTATCTTAAGTGTGCAAAATTTAACTTGTTGAGGCAAGCTGCAAATGTATCTTGCGCATAGACTTAACACGCAAATAAGAAAATGTAATTAAATATACTATCAAATGTAATTCAAGAAATTATCTATAAACATCATCCAAACATATGAGAAATGTAATATAATTTCATGTTTTATGAAATTCAAATCGAAATAAATAATTTTAATGTGTTAAAAAACTAAAAACATGTAAAACAGAGAAGAATTTGTTTTTGCAAAGAGATAAGAAATATATTATAGAAAAAAGTGTATGAATATGAAAAATATTTTACAAAACAAAGTGTATAAAATTTTAAAAAATTACACAAAAATAAATTGGACAGTAATTTCAATTGAAAAAAAAAAGTAAAAAAAAAAAGTAGTGTGATTATTATGCAAGAGTGGCAAGTGTTGAGTTGGATTGATCCGATTAGGCTAAAACCTTGTATTGACACAGCTAAGAACAAAGAAAAAGAAAGATGAAAGAAGGAAACCTTCTTTGAGGTCCTTTTATAATGTTTAAATTTTTTGAATTAGTTGAATCAGATTAAATTTACATAAATTACAGAAATTATTAAAAATAATAATTACAGAGTACTAAATAAAGAAAATATTATATACATAACACTACAATATTATTTTCAGCAAAACTAGTCATAAAAGTAAACTTATTTATCTTGATTAACAATTAATTTAACGTCTCAAATTAAATAAAAATTTGGTGTTTGTTAAAAGATATAACTGATAATGTTGATAAATACTCCCTCCAGTCCCTATTAAAGTTCCCAGTTTGACTTCACACAGATTAAGAAAATAAATTTGACTTTACTGTGGAGTGCACTGTTTAACACTGTTTGGACACTGTTTGGCATTGTTTGGCAGTGTTTTGCACTGTTTTGTTTCCTACAATGGAAGTGTGAACTTAAATAAGGGACATCCTAAAAAGGAAAGTGAGAATTTTAATACGGACCGGGGGACTAAAAATAGAGGATACTGGTCCTTAGTGTCCAAAAGAATATCTTGACGATTTAAAAAGCTCTTTTGGCGATACTGAAATAGGATAAATCAGTGGAATCTGCTGAGATTGACAAAAGTCTAGCTTACACGATTGAATATGATAAATAATAAAAATATTACATTTAACATATATTTTATTGATAAAATAAAGAAGAACATTATTCTTTACAATAATTTTAGCTAATTCAGCAGGAAATTTAACTACAACCTGACTTATTTTGATTATTACATAATTTAACGTGTGGAATAAAAAACCTACTCCCTCCGTCCCAATTTGAATTGCAAAATTCATGAATTTTTTGAGTCAAATAGATTCATTTTATTTATTTATTTAGGATATCAATTCTTAACTTAATATTAATTTGAACTTTGTCACTTTATAGACATTTTAATGTAAATTTTTTATATGTAAATTTTTATTATTAAATTTGAATTAGTTGGGAGGATTTAACTTTAAAATGTTGATTTTACAAAATAATTTGAGACGGAGGTAACATTTAGTAAAAAAGTTGAGTAATAACATTGATAAGTTCAAAACAGGGGCCATATCCAACATGGGGGCAAGGGGCAGCTGTCCCCACTCAACCTCACCCAACCCCTATATATATCCGGTATTTAATTATATATATATATATATATATATATATATATATATATATATATATATATATATATATTTCTGAAATTAGATATTTTTAATGTTAATAACAAGTTTGTACTCAAAAGCCACAATGGTGCAGCGAAAGTGTTTATGTGTGTAGCTTTGTTGTTTCCTAAAGGTCCAGGGTTCAAACCAGTGGGCTTCGGTCGTGGGTTTTTCCCCCATTTGAAGCTTTAAACAAATCTAACATGGCTTAACATAAAAAATTAACTTTTGTCTTCTTAGAAAGATTTAAACCATATCAATAATTCAATATAATCAAAATTTTAGTTTGATTCTTAAAGTTTAACAATTACGTAGATTCTTATGAATAATATAAACTGATTTTTAATATATTTGTGAATTTGTGTCTTATATTAATTCCAGGTACATATATGATCCTTCCCTTATTTGATTCACTTATTTATTAATATGATTTTAAACAAATTACAAATGTCTTGTGCTTAAAATTTATTTCTAACAAAGTCAAATTTACTTAATCTGAATTTTTAAGTATGCTATCATAAATTAAGTTTTTGCCCAGTGAATATTTTATTATTTAAAAGTAAATTTACAAATGTCTTGTGCGTATGATAATATACTCCATATAAGGCAAGTTCGCCCCCACTTACGAGTGTTTTGGATACGCCACTGGTTGAAAATGAGTGTAATCAAACCCGATCTTAATTACTTCGTCCGTCTCAAAAAATAGTTCCCGCATTTATTTAAGTACTTCTTTCGTCCCCTTAAGATTGTTCCTTTTTATTTTTTGGTAAATTCCAATAAAATTTTCTCATACCAAATTTGATAAATGTTGTGTAGCTCTAAATCATTTATACTTAATTACTACGGAGTACTTTATAATATCAATCGGCGTAAACTCACTATTCTTAATTTAATAACTGTGTCAGAATTGAACCATAATCTAATGAAAATCAATTGTGCAGGATTGCAGCTAACATAACTGCTAACAATTTAATCATAATCTACGAATTTAATAGTCTATGAAGCATTTTAACTCAGCAGCTAAATGGACGTAGAAGAAACAGGGGTGGTCAACCTCTGTCAAAGTGACACCATAACGTGTTGTATTTTGAAGTGTTTTGTACTACGTACAATTATATTGTACTGTGTTTTAATTTATTTAATCATGAGTTTCCGTAATTTTTTTCCTTTTCTGCCAATTGAAAAGATTTTTGGAAAAAAGAAAGTAAAGTTGTTTGTTCGGATTTGATCTATAGATTGTGATTTGGTGAATTAGATCTGACATAGTACAGTATGACCACTGTTTTCGTTGCTCATCTTTTTCTTGAATATTGCAATAAACGGGTGGGGGCGTAATCAAATAAGTGATGCCATAAGTATCGAGTTTGAATCGCGTCAACTACGATGAAATGCATATGACCTCTACAAATATCATGGTCAGAGTTTTACTCTCTATCTGTTAATTTTTTATTAAAGTCCAATTTATATACTCTCATATAACTATCCGGTCGGTGTTGAGGCCCTCAGGGATAGGGTGTCATCATTTTTTTGCAATAATAATACTCCGGTATGAGTATATACCTAGAGCCTTTTCGGTAATATTAAAATAGGCCGAATTGAAGTTACTAATTTAATTGATTTATGTAAAAAAATATATATGTTTCTTATCTTTTATCTTTTATCTTTCTTTATCATTCTTTATCTTTTATCTTTCTTATATTCTTGTATTATTGTTATCTTATACTCCCTCTGTCTCACAATGAACTTCACAGTTTGACCTACACACATACGAGTATTAAGGAAATAAACTTACAATGGGGTAAATTTTATTGTTTTGACACTATTTCGATACTGTTTGGCACTGTTTTGTACTGTTTCGACACTGTTTGGCACTGTTTTGATGTAGATTAACTTGTCATTTAAGGAAATGAGAACTTGTTTCTGGGACATCCACAAAAAGAAAGTGGAAAATTCATTGCGGGACAGAGGAAGTATTTATTTATTTTTATTTTATTCATTTTATTCTACTTTTTTTCTTCTTTTTCTTGTCCGTCTTCTCTTTTAGGCATCGATATCATAGATCGATTAATGTTAGCCGACCCCAAATTCTTTTAGGATTAATGCTTGGATGTTATTGTTGTTGTTGTTTGTAAAAATATATTTAAAATATATTCTATTAATAAAATACAAAAACAATTATGAAAAAATAGCTAAAATATCTTCTATAGTAACTTCAGACAATAAAGCGAGAAAAGTAACTTCAACCCTATTCTTTTTATTGTTACCCAATTCAACACGAGTAATCAAAAGTTATGTGTGTGGTGAAAAAGTTGGTTGATAATCATGATGATAAGCGGAAAAACATGGTCACCAAATGAGCTCATAGGGTGTGACAATGGGTAAATCTCGATTCTTGATGACTATGAAGAAA